AAAAAGAACAAATTGCCACCCGTCCCAATGCCTGATTAATCTAAGTATAACTGCAGAGGCCTGACACACTCAATGCCTCTCCTAAAATTAACAACTTATTCCTAAAAAGTAGGAATACAATGAATTAGATTCATTATTACAAAGATATAGTCTCACCTGCTATTGTTCAAAAAAAAAAAAAAAATTCCTGTGCCTAAGTTTAACAGTTAACATATTTATTCTTTTTAAATGGCTATCCAATTCTAAGGCTGGTATGATCAGTCTGCTAATTTTTTTGAATCACTACGTAATTTAGGAAAGTCAGACTCCTTGCTTAAAAGACATGAAAATTATAATTCCATAGCTAAAGTTAAACTTGTTTGTAAAATACGTAAAATGTGTAAATATATTTACAGAGCAACAACTTTAATAAGATCATAAGTACCTAACATTAAAATGGTGAAAAATGATCACTAGGAATTGAATATGACCAATAAAGGTATTTTTATAGAACAAGAGTTGTGGGAAGGAGGGACATACACTAACACTTATTAAACACTAAGCATTGTGCTGGCACCTTACCAATGTTCTAGGGTAATCATCATCTCAATTATCACAACGACCCCATGAGGCAGCTATTATTATTATTATTCCATTTTATAGGTAAGAAACAGAAAGGTTAATTAACTTGCCTAAGGTCACACAGCTAGTTGGTAGTAGAGTTAGGATTTGAATCAAAATCTATTTGAGTCCTCAAACCATAATCTTTTCAGATTATTCACTGCAACACAGATAATTCGTAATCCATTTCTATAAAAACTATTTTAGGGGGATTTTGATCATAAAAGCCACAACCCGATTTATTTTTTTCTCTGCTCTCAGGTCTGGAAAGCCTGAAGAATTAAGTCTAAAATAGTGAAATAGAATTCAAATCAGTTCTATGTTTCTAACAGTACCTTGCACGTGAGTCTCAAGCCTTAGCTGTTGTCAAAGTGTTTTCATAAAGTCTGATTCACTACCATCACAACACTCCTGTGACAGAAAGCTGATGCTGTTGTCACTCTGGAGATGTTGCTTCAGCTATGTGAGCTGCACATCACACAGCAGATTGTGGACAGAGCTGAGCCTAGAATCTACATATCCTGACACTATCTACTGCTCTTCCCATTACACCTCACAGCCTTCAAATACAAAAGAGAACAATTTCTACATCTGAGGCAACACTCTCTCCACCTTTTTTCCTCAAGGGGCAAAATATACCATAATTTATATTTAGGAAATATAGACTGTGCCATTACATGTTCTTTCTTCCAACTGCATAAGATCAAACTGTGTGAACAAAACAATTCTAAGGTATAATCATCTTCCATATCTTTGGTTTTCATCATAATATTCATGCCGAAATGATTGCACTTAAATCACAGCACATGTCCATAGCAAGTGATTTCATTATAATCTTGAAAATCTACAGCCTCAAACAGCAAAAGCAATTTCCACTTGTACAATATATAAAAATAATCTAGAATTAGGTAAGATGGAACTTACATATAGCCATTGGTAGAAAAGATGTGCTAAGATATTCAATAATATCCTTGTGCAGAAATGGAGGGAAGGTAGCTAACGTTGATATCATCGTGTAGGGCAAAGTACTCAGAATATCATCATTGAGAAAGGGTAGCAAACATGTGGTTGTATAAAATATCGACTGTCCAAGATCTACAAAAGAAAATTGAGTAATCGGTCACTGAATATTTTGCCATTTAACAAAATATGCTAGTTATACATTCTAAGTTTTTATGAACAGGTTTAAATGATAAGTAACTATTGTTCTCTTCCTATTAAGAGTTCTGAAACATACTACTCAGAATAGTGAGTATAAAGCATTTGCTCATTAAATGTCTAATGAATAACTGCATTAAGATATATAAATAGCCCAGCCAGCGTGGCTCAGCAGTAGAGCATCAACCTAGGATCCAAGGAGATCCGGGTTCAATGCCCAGTCAGGGCACAGGCCCGGGTTGTGGGCTCCATCCCCAGTCAGGGGTGTGCAGGAGGCAGCCGATCAATGACTCTCTCATCACTGATGTTTCTCTCTCTCTCCCTCTCCCTTCCTCTCTCTGAAATCAATATATTTAAAAAAAAAAAAAAATACATAAATACCTATTACATGGGCTTTTCCTCAATGCTTTAACAATGTTTAGTAATACTTGGTATTCATAGCACTCCTCAACTTCATAAATTAAAATTCATGTGATAATGAATCCTGAAATCCCTCCAGCATTCTTACCTCCATTACATATTACACAAAATAATGGTGGCACAAGGATGTTAAATTATTTTATCACACGAAGTTTTAGAAAAGGCAAGGTCAGGATTTGAAATAAAACTAGGCTATTTCTGCCCCATCAACCAAACTACAATCTGGAGTTTGGGGCAATGCAGTAATTTGTATCTTCCAGCACAACGGCGGATTCAGCCACACCAAAGAAAGGAAGCCGTAAACTGATGCTGCATGACCCTGTGCATTTAATTATCAATTATCACAGAAGAACGTGCCACCTGATAATAATCTATCAACATTTTTAAATGGGGATAGGAACAGTACCTACCTCACTTCATTAGAAGGATTGTTAGGAGGTTTAAATGAGATAAATGTAAAGTGCTTAACATGATACATAATGTGCGCTCCACAAATATTAGCCATTTTGTTAATATTAATATTCTTACTATAATTATTACCTGCACAAGGAGTAAAAATACAGCACATTTGAAAAAACAACTATTTAGCTTTAGAATGCATGTAGACCAAATCCCACTGCACCGAGTGTGTATTTCGATCATTCTGGACTGTCCAATACATAGGTCGTCAGCCAAGACTTGACAAAAAAGACTTTGACCATTTTCATATCCATTATAAAAGAAAACTATTCGACTTTTTTTTGCAGATTTACTTTCTTAGTGATATTTTGATGCCTGTTATTTCTGATTTTCATTAGAATTAATATACCCTCTCAACAAGTAATCAACTGTCAACAGAGATGTGGCCACACTGTACACTGGGGAACCAGGGTCAGTCAACCTTGGGCTCCAAATGAAGAAACAGAAAATCCACAGGTGGTTCACTAAGAATTAACCAAGGCATGACAAACACCTCAGCTGCATTTTAGCCTACTTACAGAACTTCTGTAAGCACAGAAAGGCGCCTGAGAGCCCACCTGGAATATTCTTCATATGCAGAAACTAAGGCCCAGGGAAAAGAAGTGATTGTCCAAAATTTCCTAAGAGTTAGCTGCTGAACTGAGATAAAAATGGGACTCTTCCAGGGACACTGCACTGCTCCATGTGTGGACGCAGCCTCTAGCCCTATGTTCTCAAACTTGGTATACAAAAGAATCACCCAGAGAGCTAGTTTAAAAATGTGGTGATTCTTACTCAGAAGCACCAGCTTGGGGCCCAGAATTCCATGGTCCAAGCTCCCTCAGTGATTCTGATGTTGTTCGGATCACGCTTAGAGAAACAACGCTGTACTTTTTAACCTCTAAGGGATGGTCTAGTGAGTTTTCCCCTATCTTCCAAGCTCTGTTATGCAGAACAAGAGCATAGTATAGAGATAACAGTGAAAAGTCACAAAATAGCTGTGGGTATAAAAGCAAAAATACAAAACATCCCGGTTGAAATTGTCATAATTTACACATTAATAGCAATTAAATGAGTTGTAAGTTACCAAACTGAATGTTTTTATCTTAATCAAGGGGCTTTACAGACAAAGAAGAGCTGCCTAACACAGTGGCCCAGCCCAGGACCAGACAGGTCCATGATGACCGAAGGACTGGAGACACAAAGGAAAGCACTGACGAGCTCACCACCACAGTAAGCTCTGGTCGCCTTATGTTCAAAAGGGCTTCTCCCTTAAGTTCTGAGATAGGATAGAATCACAATAAAAGTGACTAGGCTTAAAACAGCTACAAAATTATATGATAAGCAAATTTATAAATTTCTCCATTTTTTATATTCACTACAAAACAGAATGTAAATATAAGCAAAAACAAATTCAATAATCATTATTTCATCATTTTTATGAAAGTAGATTTAAAAAATATTTTTTTAACTAGGAACACATCTTACTAAATAAATCATTAAGCATTTTCTTAGGAGAGTTAGTCATAACTAAAAGGCAAAATAAGCCCTCACCACCCATGCAGTTCCCAAATTCCAGTATTTCTGTACAGTGAAATTTTGGTTATAATCCTCCCAGAAACCAGATTCTCAGTGCTTTCAAGTTAAGACAATTGATGTTTTAAAAGTTCATTTTCTGCAAAAATCCCTTTTCTTACTATATGGTTTTCCATTTGATTCGCCCAAATACAATACTGAATAGTTAAGCAGTAGATATTACTGCACTCCTTTTTATGCATTAGAAGAATTTGGTAAGCAAGCAAGCTAAGGAACTTGCCTAAGGACACCCAGTAGAAAGGGGAAGAGTTAGGAAGCATGCTCTCCAGCTTCTGCCCTAAGGCACCCTGTATACAGCACATAGACACTGGACCGCTCAGCCAACATTTTGTAATTAACTATTAATTGTTAGTTAAATTTGTAATACTTCTTAGAGATTTCTTTTTCTTTGTTTTTAGAGATTTCTTCTTATCTAATCTCCTGGGTGTAAAGAAAGGAAAAATAAGTCTCAGAGAGATTCTGTGATTTGCCCCACAAAAGTGACAGAATTAAGTCAGTGCATTGGACCTGCTCTTCAAGCTCCACCTCTTATATTTTCAGGAGGGCAAATTTTTAAGCCTTAGCTCCCAAATCATTTCAACAAGTCTCCATGATAAGCAGATCATGGGAGAAGAAATACGTTCCTGTTAGAGTCTTCCTCCTTTCCCCAACCCATTCCCCCCCAAATCAGACCCACTTCGATAACATCCCTCTGGCCACAGCAAAATGCTAGGATGGAAAACACCATAATGTTTCAATGTAAGAAAGGTTTTAGCCACACAAAGATCTTTCAAGCAATTTATTCCAATAACAACAATCTCCAGCTTCCATAAACATGCATTTACATTTTCAAAGTTTTCGATAAAATGCTCACCGTGTTGGCCATGCTGTAGTAAAGGAACTAGATCCAGGAGAGTCACCAAAGTCACGTAGAGGCCTTGATAGTCCAAAGAAGGGTAGTCTGACAAGTGAGCATCACGACTTTGCAGGCCACGTTCAGAGGGAGCATCTCGCAGGACGCTGTAAAGGAGGGAGCGAGTAACAGTAGGGTTGATGGAACTGACCTGCGGTCTTAGAGATGGGGTGAGTGGGAATGGCACAGGAAAAAGACACATGGTCATGGGCACTGTCAAATTGGAGGCATCTTGGCTTTCCTTCTTCCCTGTGCGGGACAAAATGCTGTTGGGGGGACAAAGAAAAAAAAGAGACAACAAAGACACAAAGAACAGCACATTACATTGAAATGACACTCTAAAACAAATAATAAAACACCAGATATAGCCCACATAAGATGCAATTGCCACACCAGGGGCATCTGCAAATCTAGTACAGGTCACACAGCTTTGTGCTCAGATACCAATAATGCAAGGTCTATTTTGTGAAAGTTGCATTGCATCTCATGTGTTATCTGGTTAGTAAGGAGCAAAAATATAAAAATGCATGTTTCAGTGCCAAACCCATGTTTTACAGTTTATCGATCTGGTGAAGAAGTTTCCTGAAAGGAAAAACAATGGCTTTTGTCTAACAAGTTAGGGCTTCTATTCTTAATTAAAAGGAGCTTTCAAAGGAAAGGAAGTTTTCAACAAGATTGTCTTAATCAGGTAAATAAAACTTGCAAAATATAGGTATGGCACTTGCAGAAACATGTTTTAGCAAAGAATAAACATGTGTGTTTATTAAGAAAGTCTTAAAAATCACATGTTTATTGCATCAAAATAATGTCTATATGTATATTATGATACTGTTTCATGACATTCTGTCAGTATCATTTGAGATAATGAAGTTTAAACAGGCATATGAATTTAGAAATAATACATATTTCTAAAATGTTAGCTAAACTACATTGGAAAAGCTGTAAAATAATATATATTAGATGGTCAGTAGCATATGTTTGTGAACTAATGATAATGGTTATTTATGTGTGTGTTTTTAATTTTGCATGTTGGGGAGGAAACATTTTATTTTATGAATACAAACAGTGGTTTATTAAATAGTTACCTTCAAAATTCTAAAGACTAAGCAAGCAGTATCTGCCATGTAGCTGTATATCATACAATAAGATCTCATATATTACTGCTGCTACTTACGTTATTATTCAACAAAACTCACTAAAAACTAGAGGAAAGATAATTTAGAAAGTTAAAAAAAGTTTAAGGGGAATAAAAATAAATTCTAAAAATAAACTGGCTTTTTTTTCAAGCCTTCATTTTAAAATAAAAACCTTTTAGTAAAAGCAAAGAAGAAAAGTTGTTAATTTAAAAATAGGAGAAATGACTGCATAGCCAAATGTTTAGGTTTTTTAAATGAGGTTATACTGTTTATCATTAAAGACAACAGCTATACATTATAATGATAAATCTGCTGCACTTACAACGTGCTTTATATGTTAATCAAAATAGATAACAATTTATAAATGTTTCATTACATAAAAATAACCTTGTTTTACACTTATTCTATGTGAACCAAACATTACTAAGTTCTTAGTTAATGATATTACATTTACAATTTTACAGTGGGGTGAAGAATTGGTTAGTGTCAAGCATGCTTGCTATTCCAAATTTACATTTATTTTTATTTACTCTTAGTGCAAAATATGTTACAATGTAAGAAAAATGACTACATGCTTTTTATTTTCCATGTGCCTAATTTACCTCGATTTCCTTTGTCTTCTGTTACCCAATGTCCAGGGAAAAACAATTAATAATAAAGATAATTTCAGAATAGTTATGTAATACTTCTTAGCAATAAGTAACTTAAGATTTAGTGTATTTTTTAACTTTTAAAGGGATTTAATATACCTTTTTGTGTGTGTGATGTATTTAACTTTGTAAGCGTCTACTTTACAATGGGATAATATCAACATTCCAGTTACCCCTGCCTGCCTATATCTAATATAAATACCATCATTTTCCATCAGACTTTATACTTTCCTCATATAATTCAATTACCCCTAAAAGTACCACCTTTAAATGTACTCTTGATAATAAGCCCAGTCACCAAAAAACTATTTTAATCCTGTAGGATTCTATCTCACTGAAAACACCTTTAGAATCATAATGGATATAAATCAGAAATATCTTTCCCAAACTTCAGCCCTAACTTAGCCTACTACAAGCATCTTTTCAAATTTACGAGATGTAGATCTTACAGAAGTGGTATAAAAAAACATTTTGCCATTGAGAATAAAATTTTCTCTGTATCATATATTAATGCTATCCTTTCGATTAAGTACAGTGCTCTCATCAAACTTTTCCTTGGTGGGGGAAATATAGCACAGTATATTTTCAAATATACATTTGCATTTTTCCAGAGTTTGATATAATTTGACAAACAGGAGCAAATCAGCTTTGGAGGCTCCGTTGATATTTTTCCCTTCCTGCATATGCGGCGTTCCCAAGTGGCAGCACAGCGACTTCACACGTGCAGGGAGGGAGGGACGCCGGCCCTGAGACCGTGGACCTTCCCCACTTTCTTCAGATTGAATAGGTAGGTGAGGTTGAGAAAAAAATGGCTGAAGATGAGCTTTCCATGAAACCAGCTTTAAATTACCATTCATGTTTCAATGTAAGGAAATGTTTTCTTTGTGGAAAAACTTAAGAAGGGCTCATGAATAAATGTACAATGTATTGTGATTTTATGATGTTTTGTGAATTTTATTCAGAGAAAAAACTTATTTCCCCAACCAAACTGTCTAACTCGGAAATCATAAAACCATCTTCCCCATTTGAAATTCTTTCCCAGAGGTCCGTACATCCAACCAAAAAGAATATTAAGAGCGCCCTGCTCAGAAGAGTCCAACCCAGCAGCCAACTTCTCACCTTTCCTTCTCCCTCCTGAGATCCTCTTTCTCAAGCATTTCCTTCTAACATCAAGAGAAATCAAGAGAAGATCTCTGGGGGTGTTAGTAAAGATGAGAAGTTGTCCCAAGGTATTTATAGCACAGAAAATTAATACATAAAATAAACTTTCTATAAGATTATGAATGTTGACTTGAGTTGACTTTATGCACTAAACAAAATTTCCCTGATCATGCTATGCTCTAAAGCTACTCTGTAGACTTCAAGTCAGTAATTTGAAGGTCTATATACTCTTCCTAAGTAATCAGACACTATAATTCAATTAAGATTATTGAAATGAGGCTAGAATCCCTTTTAAAAACATATTAAACTTTTTCTAAAGAGTTAGCAGCAAGTAATTTTCCCCAAACTTAATGATTTTTTAAAAGATGTTATATGCTACCAGCTTGAAAGGCACAAGAAGAGATATCTGGGGGAAGAGGTTCTAAAAGAATGTTTGACACAGGAAGACTGGAAACCTTTAAATGTTCTGCCAAGTAAAAGGCAAGATTCTTAAAGAAGGCCTGAAGTATTTAAAACATGGCCCAGAATGCTTCTAATATAAAATGCACAGACACCTCTGGTAGCGGTGAGGGGGGATTAAACTAGATGATCTTCATAGTTGCTTCTAATACTACAAGCAAACAAAATAGCTAAGCCCTAAAGTGTGCAAACTGTGTGTCCATTCCTACACTTAGGTTCCTACTAAATTAAAATCAGTACAACTCAGTATTCAGATGAAACTTTACCCAGGACCCAAGGTCACTGCTAGATGAAGTAAATGCTCTAAAAGGGTTCCTGCAACAGGTGAAATCTGAACTAAAGTCAACTCAATTCAAAAAACATTTACTGATCTTCTAAGGACCAAACACTGCACTAGGCTCAAGGGCTAGCAAACTGAGTAATACACGGGACTCACCTTCCACTAACCTAGAGTTTAGGGAACTTCCATGAACTCTGTTTTCAGTCTAATTATGAGCTAAGTGGACATATGTAGACTATTCAACTGCTGATCTAGTCAATTATGCTAAATATAATCTCTCCTCTCCTGTGGATTAAATTAATTGAAGTTAAACAACTAGGATAATCTCTGCCTTTGGAAATGCGTACAAAACTCTACTAAAATCAATGAGAGTTCTATGCATGCATGAATATCAGAGGACTCTAAAAATGTTATTCTGACTCAAATGAAGCTACTGGGACTTCAAGTTGCATATTTTAACCAAAATAATAATAATTTTAACATCCTTGAGAAGACCCAAATAGAAAGACAGAGGGTTACTCCATGAGAATTCATCTCTAATTCTTTCTTCTTATTTCCTTCCAAGAATCTGAATTCTGAAAGCAAGAAGTGCTTCTGAATATAAAAGTTATATAAAAACCTATGACTGTCTAACCGCTATGACACACCTGAAACTAATACAAAATAATACTGAATGTAAACTGTAATTAGAAAGTTTTTCTTTAATTATGTAAAATGTAAAAGGAACCATCTCGGTTTTAAGTAGAAAATCTTACTGTTAATAACCTTGGATACCAAATGCCTACTCCATTCTATTTGTCTCGAACTTTCTAAGAGCATAAAGAAAGAAACATGAGTATGATTGCTATGGTATATATACCAACAGCAAAAGTGATCAGAACTTGTTCCAATATATAGGACAATAGTTGTAAGTTCTGTATTTCCAGTAAACAAAAGAGATGAAAGAGCTTAAAAAAAAACTGAGGTAGGAAAAAAGAAGAAAGAAAATGCTGGGCTCAGCCCAGGAGTTGAATCTGTAAGCACTGAAGCCCAACCAGAGACACATTACACTGCTCAGTGCTTCTTCCTTCCTCCCACTCCGTGTGCACGCTCTTGACCTACAGGCTGTCAGCTCTGCTCTGACCTGCTGTCCACAATGAATGGCCTAATGGAAGATAAAGCTAAAGCACCTGGGGATTGAAATACTGTCCACATCACCTCCGGTAAGTTCAATTTAACTTCCAAACAGATGATAAATCTTTGCACTAAGCACTTCTTTTCTTACCTTAAGCTCGAAGAGAGCCCGAACTACTCTATGGACTCTTAATGGATGCCAGCATTCCCAAAGGCCAAACCAATTACTAAAAGAAGTGTCCCTGTACTATGACAGCTAGTAGTGCTAAGGAGAAGCAGTATAGCATAACTGTTGAGAGCGTGTGCTGTGGGTTAGCACCACCAGGGTCAAATCCTGGTTCCAACACTTACTAGATATGTACCTCTGACTAACTTAAGCACCCTATACTTTAGTTTCACTATGTGTAAAATGGGTGTAATAGTACACTTATTTCATAGAATTATTATAAAGGATTAAATGAGATGACACGTGTAAGGTGCTTAGAACAGTGCTTGAGACATATAATTACTATTATTATTATACAATATTACTAAGATAATGATAGCTGTTGTTAGTATTATCAGTAGTAGTAGCTGTTGATGTCTCCCTTTGAAAATGGACTCAGCTTAATCACATAGAATCTTCTCCAACAGCCACTTGAACAAAGTACCTTAATACCAGGGTTTGACCATTAAAATGCTATCACCCACGATCATATTCTAATGACCCATTGCTCAAGAAAACAGAACCTTCATGCCTTGCAAACATGACTTCAGTACCCTAAATTTCTTAACATTCTGGCACAATGACTAAGACCTAAGCAGTAAGTTTCCAAGCGCCAACTAGGATGTCACAGTTTCTTTGCAAATATAATTCAGAATTTGCTTCTTCCTGAGAAGTGCCTCTCAGTTCAAGAACTTTCCGAATTTGTGATAAAGCAAAGTGTTTCCCGTTGAGAACACTGACCTCAAGGACAAAAGGAGAATTCCAGAGGACAGAATCAGATCCCGTGCTGTATAAACTTACGGTTATTACTATGAAAACTGAACTAATTATTCCACTGCAGTTTGAAAAGAAGGGAAATACCCTATAACAAGGTCCTAAATTTACTATACAAGTATGAAATCTATGAATCTGATAAACAGAATCCCTTTAACACAGAACAGGGACACTCAGGGTTCTAAAGAAGAAAAGATATTCCAAAGAGTAAGAACAAAGAGACAGCGGAACTGCAGAAGACTAGTGACTGACCTGACTGCATGAAGCTTCCATCTACAAAGCATTCACCACGCAAAGCCTTAGACCACAGTAAATTCCAGTGCCACCTACAGTCATTCCAAATTGGTGTTCTTTCCTTACCTAAAACCTACCTCACAAGATTTTTGTTGTTATATAGTTAAAGAGACAGTAGCAAGTCAACTCTATGTATTTCCAAAATCAGATTTGGAGCAAGATCATGGTAACAACGGAAGAGCTAAGCCTTAGAATTCAGTGGAAAAGTAAGGTGTTCCTCTCACTTCTCAGATGTTATTTCCCAAACAATTGAGCCTTTCCTTCAAAGTCCCATGGTCTCTGGTTTTTCCCCAGTGAGAACTGTGAAGCAGATAGGTCCCTCCTGTCTCTATGCTACAGTAAAAACAGACAGTATTTGGTTTTGCTTCCTGGTCCTCTAGGGAATTTCTGTATCAATTGTAAAGGATGTTGAACACTTGAAGTGTTACACAGATTAAAAATAATTGTTATTGCCATACATTACACTTCAAGAAATACGAATTACCACTGATGACCCTCAAATGCTACATAATTCTGATTTTCTTTAAGACTATAAGTACTTCCTATTCTTAATTTTAATCCTACTCTATGTTACTGCCAGACATATAACTTTTATCACTGTATAAATCTCTTGATAAGACATTCAACTGAGGAAAGGAGGCAGGAACCTTGCAACTTTTTTTCCCCCACTCAATTCTATGATCGGATTTGCTATAGACACCCAGAGAACTGGAGTCCAGACTCTTCTGGCAGAGCACTAGGAAACATAAGGCCCTTCAAAACTTTCAGTTCAATCAAAATTTAGATCCCAATCAATTCAGCAGTCCTACCTAATAATTGTCTCAAAGTAAAGGATATTTTAAAGCTTACCTTAACAAGGTCTGAGAAAAGTATTTCAGGGTGTTTGCAATATCTGTTCCTGAAGGTACAGGGTAAATGTTGTGGAGAACCCGGTTATGATATTCCTGTAAGTACCGGATCTTGGAAGCAACTAGATAGAAGCAAAACAAAACAAAAACAAAAAACAAGAAGAATCATCTTGTACTATGTATACGATATACAGCTGTTGCTGTTTTTAATGAAATTTAATCAGTATTTTAAGAAAAATATGTAAATTTTTGCTGGAATTCCATGACAGAAACAATTATAAAAGAACTTAAATTTCTTCTAATTGTATTCAGCACCCAAAATTATTTTTAGTTATCTAGTTTAATATCCTTTTCACAAATTATCCATTACTTTTTTTATCACTAAGAAAGGCAGTACTCCAAATTATTTTATAATCACCCCCAAGTTAGCTTATTTTTAGCAAAATAATAAAGATCTCTGCTACCAGAGAACTATATTTAATATTACTTAACTGAAACTGGATGAAAAAACTCAAAGATCTTTCAACAACACTCTAAAAATCCTAAAATACAGGGAGTCCATTGCCCAATGGCATCAGTTGAAACCAGACTTTTAACTCAGCAAGTGATCATAAAAGTGTGCTTAGCAAATGTTTGAACTGCAAGAATACTAAGAATGGATTAATTTAGTATCAAGTAAGAATACAATGTTTGGGTGATAATATGAAAAAATGAATGTCACATTTTCCTTCCAAGACATTTCAGAAATAGAAGGCTTCCTAAGCTTTCGGAGCTTGGCTGCCCAGATCTTCTCAAGACTCAGGAGGGACTAAATAGGTTTATTTACCCTCCTAGACCTACCTGGAGTCACCAGCATTGTCCACATTCCTGACCTGACCTTTGACCTGGCTGCAGTGAATGGCCCAGTTCTAGTCATTCCTCTTTGCAAATCCCAAGGGGCCATGATGATCAACGTCTCCAGGTCTCCTCTTCCACAGAGCTCTCAACACTGTCCATTTGTCCTTTCAATCTTTAAGGCTACCAAGGGAGCCTTTTAGGTGGCATGGCTCACTGTCAGCAGTTAACAGAAGACATATCAAGTCCTGGAGAAGCAAGGCTGTGCTGTTCCCAACAGCCCACGGAAACAGGCTCCTGGATGAGCTCTAACTGAAATTCTGGCTTAAGTAACTTAAAACACATCAGAATGCTTTTGATAGGCGCAGGATGTAGAATCACAGAATGATGACATATCAGAACTGGAAGGGCCTTAATGACATTTTCCCAGAACCATTTCATTTTGAATATGGGAAAATCAGGCACATTAGGTCATTAGTGGCAGAGCTAGACTAGAACTTAAAAAACCTTCACTCCCATCCAGCGCTCTTTCCACTGTGACATACTCTAGAATCCGATTCTGAAATGTAGTCAATATGCAGACAGAAGGTGTTCGGTGCATGACATTAAAGCAATTTTCAGCTGTTATTATTCACTGATTCTAAATCCCACATATACCATTTATCAGATTGTCCTTTTCTCTCTCCGAATACCTACATATTTCCATAATATGGTTAGTACTTTCCTACAAAAATGTCTAGATTGCAGATAATACCTTGAGTGTGTATATAGCACATCACCTCTAAAGAAAGCAACAAGGTTATATTCATTGTCTCAATTAACCCTATAAGTGGCTGGTTGTAAATGACTTTTTTCTTGAGATAAGGTAAAAATAAGTGATACTTTAAAATGTTTCAATTACAGCCCAGCCCAGTGGTTGAGCATCGACCTATGAACCAGGAGGTCACGGTTCGATTTCCGGTTAGGACACATGCCCGAGTCGCAGGCTCCAACCCCAGTAGGGGGCGTGCAGGAGGCAGCCGATCAATGACTCATCATAGATGTTTCTATCTCTCTCTCCCTCTCCTTTCCTCTCTCTGCAATCAATAAAAACATATTTAAAAAATAAAATAAAATAATAATAAAACATTTAATTACATAATCTACAAAAATCCATTTTCTTCTCAGCCTTTTTTATTTGCTGTTCACCATCTTTTATCAAATCACATTATAGGAAACCCCGACATTCATATAGTTTCAAGCCCCAAACATCTGAAATATGTGCTAGGCCAGCATATGCTTTCTGCTCACCCAGCATCGCAATAACACTCTGTTACTATGACTTTTCTCAGCCTTTAATATTTAGCAAGTTTCTGTTGAGTATTTCAGGAAAATGTTAATCATTCCACCATATTAAAAAGAGGCAGTTGATAGTGCAAGTTGTGGTCAATATGCTCCACTGAGGAGAAAAGCCATAGATTCCCCCAACTCAATGCTTGCTCATAATTCAAGAGCTACAAAACTGTCACTACACAACATGCAAGGGAAAGCAGAAACAAGAGTCACTCCCTTCTTTGAAATCTTTTAATATTTTACAAATGTCACATTGTATTATTTTTGTTTACTTACCTGTTTATTTTTCTATGCCAGGTTGTCAATTTCTTGAACGCAGAAACTATATCTTACTCATGTCTCAATCCCATGCCTAACACACTGCCTGGCACATAGTAAGTACTCAATATATTTGTGGGATAAGTGAACAAATGAATTATTACTTGAATAATATTTATCACTTGGGGCTTTTTTGTATATATACGTATCTGTCACCCATACTAGATTGTTTTTATTCCTAGTGCCAGACGTCTAGTAGGTGTTCAATAAATAATTGACACATAAAGATAGAAAAAAGGAAGAAAGAAAGGGGGGAGAGCCTGGCCAGCATGGCTCAGCAGTTGAGCATCAACTTATGATCCAGCTGATCACAGTTCGATTCCCAGTCAGGGCACATGCCCGGGTTGCGGGCTCGATCCCCAGTAGGGGGCATGCAGGAGGCAGCTGATCCATGACTCTCTCATCATTGATTTTTCTCTCTCTCTCTCTCCCTCTACCTTCTTCTGTCTGAAATCAGTAAGGACATATTTTTTTAAAAAAAGAAAGAAAGGGGGGAGAGAAAGAAGAACAAAGATACTGGTGAGTAATCATGAAAGACAATTTATAGAACCAGTTGGAAAAATGTTCAAGCTAATTTTTGCACTTGTGAATTCAACAAAATCATAGATTTATTTAACTTCCATGTTTGCGATTATTTGAGAACAGCCAGAAAGGTCCCTGCTACATAGTAATTTGTCACTGTGCTGAGGATGTGACTAAAATTCATTTACATTTCAACTTCACACAGAAGAGAGGGTCATTTGGCTGGTCGCTGAGCCCATGTGAGCACCCAGCAGCCTCAACACAGCACAGAGTTCTTATTTTCACTCCAACCTTATGCCTGAATATTGCTGCAGAAACTCAGATAATTGGGCTGGATGGATATAAACAAATTATCTCCAGCCTCAAGTGACCTTCAGGCAATCATTGTTTCATCCTTCTGCATGCTCTTCAAAACTTCTCCCATAACGACTCTTCCCCTTATACTTTAAGAAAACAGAAGCCATCTGTTATGGACTGAATGCCACCCCACCTCCCTCAAATTCATATATTGAAATCCTAATCTCAAAACGTGACTGTATTGGAGGTAAAGCCTTTAAATAGGTGATTAAGTTAAAATGAGGCTCTTAGAGCAGGTTCTAATCCAGTCTGACTAGTGTCCTTATAAGAAGAGATTTGGACACAGGAGAGACGCAAGGGATGCGTGTGAACAGAGAAAAGGCCATGTGAGGACACAGAGAAAAGGCAGCCATCTGCAAGCCAAGGAGACAGGCCTCAGGAGAAGCCAAACCTGACAACACCTTGATCTTGGACTTCTGGTCTCCAGGAGAGTGAGAAAATTAATTTCTGTTGTTTATGCCACCTAGTCTGTGGTACTTTGTTATGACAGCTCTAGCAGACTGACTAATACACCATCATAGAGGAAATCCTCTAAGATCTAAGAGTCTGAGCTCTAAAATCAAATAATTCTAGATTAAGATTTTGGCTCTATCTCCCCTTAACCCATTTCCTCATCTGTAAAATAAGGATAATCATACCAACTTCATGGGCTATTGTGAATAATAAATCTCTTACTGAGCCAATCACCTAGCATAGTACCTAGTACACACTCAACATATAGTGAATATCAGAAGCCTAGCTGCACCGTCTTCTTTCCCCTTCCTATCAAAATCCATGCCACCACAAGTGCCCTCCATCCATCAGCTGTCTCTCCTACACACTTCCATAAGCATCCAAATAATGTTTGTGAAAGGGAAACAAAAAACCTCTCATTTAACTTGAAGTTCCCCTCTAGCTAATGGTCTCTCCACTCAGAGCCAAGGTTATAGCACTATGTGTCCTCTCATCTCTCCATCACTTCCAGCTCTGTCGGCCACTCCAGTCTGGCTTCCACCTCCGCCGCTGCACTGAGTCTGCTTTCTCCACCATTGTCTAGGGCCTCCATGTTGCTGAATCCAGTGGGCACTTTCCAGTCATCATTTTCCTAGACCTCCAGTCTATGCCATGCCATAGCCAGTCCCTCCTTCCTTGAAACTTTCTCCCGTTGGCCTCCCTGGCGCACTCGCCTGTCTGCCTCCCCCCGCCTAGTGTATCCCTCTCAATGTGCTTTGCCGTCTCCCCCGTCACTCGATGGTTAAGTCTTGGAATTCCTCACAGTTTAGCCCTAGACTCTGCATTTGTCACCATACTCTCTAGACAGTCAATCCCATCCATCCACAAGGCTTTCACCCCACCCCACCTGTGCCAACTACTCTTACATGTGCATCTCCATCGCTGACGAGTAGCTCCTCTGAGCAACAGGCCCCACCTATTCAGCTGCTCCACTGGAGCTCTGGAGCAATCATAAAGCAAACATGTGCGACACTGAACTTTTAGCTCTTCCCTCACCCCAATAAAACCTACTCCACCATCTATGTCATCCAGCAAGTCACTCCAACAAAGTACTCTGAAAATCATCCTTGACAGCACCTCACTCCCTCACTGTTCCTTCTCCCTCACACCCTTAATCCAATCTGTCGCTAAGTCCTGTCAATGCTACCAACAAAATATACCTCCAAACTGTCTTCTGTTCTTTATGTTCATTATCATTACTGGGCACCATCATCTCCTGATCGATTCTACAAAGGCTCCAAACTCAAAAATAAATAAATAGCCTCTGAAC